AGCACCACATATAAAGAAATAAAATAAAGGTCCAACTAAAAAGTATTAAAAAAAAATGTGTGTGCACCAATAAAATCTCACTCAACTCCTGATCAAAAATATAAAACAAAAATCGGGATATCTCAAAATAAATATTATAATCTTGTGCTAGTAGGGTAAGTACTCAACCTCATTAAAATCATTCCAGGGAAGGGGATGTAGCTTAGTAGTAGTGCCTGCCTAGCATGCAAAAGGCCTTAGGTTCAATCACCAGTACTGCGAATCCCTTCCCTACTCTCCCACCCCAAAATAAAGTAAGACAAAAAAACTTGATGCTGGGCTGGGGATGTAGTTTAGTGACAGAGCTCTTCCCTAGTATAAGGCCCAGAGTTTAATTCCTACCACTGGGGAAAAAAAAAAAAAAACTAAAAGACTCTATTATACAGGCAAAAAAAGAGGCTTAAACCAGATAGAAGACAACTTTCAACTTTTAAAGAAAAGGATACAAAAGCTGCAATAAATAATTGGTAACTGCAATAATTATTTCAGGCCAATTCAATCCCGTTTGGTTCAGAGGTGCCTTTGGTTGAGAGAAGAGATGAGATATAATCTGTTTTCTTGCAACTTCTTGGAAGAATAACTCCACAATTGTCTGAGGGCTAGATACTTGAAAAGAAAATGCTACAATCATAAACTTGTAATGGTAATATAAACTTTCAATTAAGATAGTCTATGAATTCACTATATATTTGTAACAAAGATTATTTATCATTTCAAAACAGAAAATGCACCATGGGTGTAATTGGTAGCAATATAAACAAAAACAATTTGTAAACTGAAGTATTAAATAAAAGCAATGATAATGACTATTAAATCAACATTGCAAATTTTCATAGATCTCACCACCTGAAAGTGCCTTCCCTAGGACCTACATATAATAAACACAATCAGTCCTAAGATTTCAAGTTTTATTCCAAAACAGTACAAAATAAATTCTCTAGAGTAATGGTTTTCAAGGATGAGAGAGGACTCCTTTTAATTTGTTAACTAAGACTAGATTATAAAAGCTACCATTAACTTAGTAAATTTATAAACGATTAAATATTAAGGGCTAATGCAAGTGAGAGACTCTCAGGAGTCTTAAATTACCTTACTAAAATTTGTTCTTATTTTTACCATGTATATCTATGGGATCAGAGCTTCATAGACTCTGCTACAACCAGGTCTTAGGCCACAGCTTCTCATGCCTTCTAGTGAAAGCAAAAAGCATGACCAACATTTCCATAGCAAAGATGGCAAAAGAACACATTAATAAATATGCAATAAACCTCCAAACCCAAATCAAATGTATACACAGTCCTTACCAAACTTGTTTGTCATTAAAGTACCAGAGTCAGTTAGTTCCAGTACTGACAAGTGTTGGAGATTAGACTCCCTGTGAGAAAAGAAAAAAAGGACAGCTTAGTAATTCTCCCATGCTAAATATATGTCCACATCCACAAGTTTTCCTAAAAGGGACACCGTAAATTGTATATAAAAGCTTCTTTGAAAGCATAAAGAAAAAGCAAAAAACCAAAGGATTTAGATTATTGTCCATTATATTATTCAACCATGAGCCACAGCAAGAAGGATGGTTCATCTTACCAAAAAACTGAATCTTGGGCCGGAGATGTAGCTCTGTGGTAGAATGCTTGCTTGGCACACCCAAGGCCCTGGGTTCAATGCCTGTACCACAGAGTGTTGAGTGGTGGGAGGACCAAAAAAAAAGTGAATCTTGTAATTATTAGATTTTTTTTT